TTATGTTCTTAATGAAAAATCCACCTTGTCCCCGGCATTCTCAGATGAGACTTAAACCCATGAACTTGGACCCATGGATTGCTAAAAACATTTTTTAATATCATTATGACTACGTTACATAATGCAGAAGAGTATAGTTGTGCCATATTTGAATGCTACTTAAAAGGTGTTATTAGTTTTAGTAGCTCTTATATTTGTTATGTCAATAAAGGCATTCTGAATTGTTTAACTTTTTATTTTCCATCATTTAACATAACGACGCCGTTTACGCCGCCATTTACACCGCCCCCACTGAATTTTTAGCTCCGCGCCGCCGCCGAAGATTTCGGCATCGGCGCACATGCCTACTAGATGTCCCTTCACTACTCTAGTTTGCTTATCTGCGCCGCTTTATTTTTTAACTTAAATAAATAATTATGTTAAAGCTCTCAAAATATGTATGTCTTCATTTCAAATTGCTAAGAAATCACACTCTAATTTCAACCTTGCAATTGAAGTGAGATTTTTTATTCGAATATGACTTGGGAGAGGTAATCAAATTGTTCTAGTGACTCGAGTCACAAAATTCTATTCAAGTCGCATCACTACCTTTCACAAATCTGTTTATGGGGTAAAAGACCTCTCGGACACGTGCTTTCCGTGCAAAACAAACGTAAATGCCTTACGGCAGAAACACAATTTTGACCCCCGCCGGAAGGATGAATTAAGCGTATACCTACCTCATAATATTTTTATCCTTATCCTAATATTACTAGATAAACTCTTCAAAATTCAATCAGCTGGTAATATTTTAGAAATCTAAATGGCCGCGCGACCTTGTAGAAAATATTTTACTGTCGAGCATAAATTAATATTTATCTTTTCATTTTTAGGGTCCCATAGCTAACGAGGAACCTTTATAGTTTCCATGTTCGTCTGTCTGCCCGTCCTTCCACGGTATACCGGAATAACTAATGGTACTAGAAAGTTGTAATTTGACATGAGTATACACGTTCATAAGAAAAAGTTCTAAAGAAAAATTTGGAAAAAAAAAATTTGGGTACCTCTCCTACATGTAAAGTGGAGATTATATTTTTTTGTCGACTTACCCATAGTGTGGAGCATTGCTAGATAGACTGTTCAAGAACATAGGGGAAGGTCATTTTTTATTTAGTAAACCGTTTTTTAGTTATTAAGCTTTAAAGAGCTAATTGTTAGAGTCAAGTGCCTCCTCTACCAACTAAACGGTCGTTGGTAAAAATTCAAACGTTACGGCAGTAGTAACTAAATATATCTAAATTAAAAAGAAAACTATTACACTTAAATTGAATTTACAAATTTACGAATAATAGTCGATCAATTGTATTCAAATCGAAAATTTTGAACAACTTAATAGAAAATAACAAACGTAATTTCTTTTTTAATGAATGATGGTACGGAACCCTTCGTGCACGCATTAAACACGCACTTGGCCATTATTTTTAGATAAATAATATTAATGTGCATTTTTTATTTTGTCAAAAACTTAAAACTATTGTTATGTATTGTCTTGCAATACTGACATTAATTTGATAATCATATAAATTGTGCCATATGAAAAAGAAATGTTTTAAATCGTAAAAAAAAATACAGTGGATTCAAAATGATATACGGCTCAATCTGAATTGAGAAAAATACAAAATCTCAACTGATTTAAATTTTCATAACGCAAAAAGTCCTAGTTATTATCAAAATGCTATCAATTGATTACTAAAAAACTAAAATCAGAAACAAAAACGTATTTAAGCGACGTTTAAGTATAGCTTGAGACGTGGTTAACTATAAATTCTCAATTAAGAAACCGGGTGTTAATGTAGCTAACCATGCATTGTCGTCTAAATTAAATCAGTATGCTAAATTAGAACTCGATTTATTGACGATAAGTTACATCATAGTGTATAAATATAATGTATAATTTACAATACATATATACATATTTACTACGTACTTACATGTAGGTTGACATTTTAATTTGCACAATAAAGCTTAAATAAATAAAAAAATATACTATATACTATACAAAGTACTTTATAGTATATAGTACTCAAAGACAAAGTTAGTAATTATTTTTCAATAACAAAGCACCATTCACAGTGATAGCGTGTCAAATTTTCATCAACTGCGGTGTTTAAAAAACTGAAAGTATTAACTTGACAATTGTCAACAAAGGGAAACAATTTTAGAGAAAATAATAAAAAAAAATTACTCAAATTAATACAGCCTTTATAACCATGTAGTAGAAAAAATGTTAATGTAACGAGAAGAGAAGAAGACTATATTTAAAAATTAACAAATATATCTGAATATAAAGTATTTGAACACGAGTTTTCATTAGCACAAATACAATTATTATGACGCCTTGAACACGTGATGTCTTTTAATGAACAAATTTAATCTAGTGAAACCTTAATCCAACTTAAAGTTCTAATTAATTTCACTAATAAACAAAACTCATCACTACTGATTCCTAAGTCATGTGATTGCACCGAGTTCATAAACTCATACATAACACTTCAGCATGTGTATGTTAAATTATATACCTACAATAAATTCTGTTCAACATGTTGCTTTAAATTTCTAAATATCAGTAAAAAGTATTAATGATTTTATCAAATAGCTTTCACACGCGTTTTGGTTAGCACCGATTCAGAGTTTGGTATTTTAAAAAAAAGCAACTAAGGGTATGTTCCGATATACACTGCGACCACTGAACAGTATAACGTCAATTTAGTATACTGGAAGCCCGATCCTTTATAGCTAGTTATACTGGTGACTTTTTAAAACGGAACGCAGTCCAGTATACTGTTAATCCTATTTTTGTCGCCATTTTCAAATTTGTTAATGCAAGGTAAATATAAATATAAAGATTCCCTCTTTTCAAAAGAAAATATTATAAAATTGGAAAATTGTATAAAAAAATTATTTATCAATCAAATCCATCTTATAATAAACGTAAGTATTTTATTTTATCTGTTTCGACTGATCACGTGGTCAAAAGCACTGCGAGCACTGCACCTCGAAATCTCCAGTGCTCACAGTACAAATATGGCGGCAATTCATGACGTCATAAATTTCCCTACGGTACTGTAGCAGTATACTGGCGGTCCATAACGGAACGGATTTTTCAGCAGTAAGACCACTGCGCAGTGCTCGCAGTGTATATCGGAACATACCCTAAGTCAAGATACATGTGTCGGAGAGTAGTCAGAAGGGGCTATTACGAAGCCCAAATAGATCGTCCTTATCGGAGGACTATCTTTAAAATACCACTGCAGGCGTGTATACCAACGTGGATTTGTTCCATTTTATCACTTTTCATACGAAAATATAACGAGATGAGCGTGATGTCGTCGGATGTCTTTACTCCTCGGCGATCGGAAACAGATGGTGTTTGCCAAAATAGTGGCAACTTGCTTTTTGTTAACGAACTGTCAAAGTCAGTGTTACCATTCTAATAAAATTAAAAGTATCGATGATCACGCTCTCTCAACAATCGAGTAATTAAGTAAGCGAGTTACTAGCAATTAAAAAAAAAGAAACTAAATAAAACGCTCTTCGTAAACATGATGCGACATATATAATTTAATCACAATTGATTCAGTAGTTTGGCTATTAACTTAACAGACAAGGTTCACTTTCACATAAGTAATTTTAATTGACGTTGAAGAGAAATATTCTAATTATCTTATTATCAGAATATAGGAGAATTTCCATTTTCAGCTCCTCATTTATTTAATGTACTTATATGTACATAGTTAAATGAACTACTCCGACGCTGTCATTGACACGTCAACATTCTTCTAATAAGGATGATGAACTGGGTGAAAAAAAAGAAATCATACTAAGTCCGTCAGTCAGATAATAGTGTATTCTTTTGCTTCAATTAAAACAAGAAATGACTTAAATAACAGGCATTAAAATTGAGTGGGGGCTCGCTATGTCTTAGTTTTGTTGACAATGTACAAAACCACGTCATGCGACATTTCAACCGAATGTCTCGCTGTAATTTATTGATTAAGCAAAAAAAATCTACCTGACGGATAAACTAACAATAATTAGTCGTCCCTATTATATTTTTCTATGTAGGTAGTTTTTAATCGATAAGCCATAATTTGCATGCTTAGAGATTCCAGTTTTTATTGATTTGTCACTAATTTATTTTGTAGACCCCTATATTTCTCTTTTGTGGGTAAATTGTTATGTCATAATTGTTCGGCAGCGTTCGCACGTGTCTTATTGTTATGTAATATATGTATGTATATGTGTATCATAGCGTATTATGTATGCCAGACAAATATCTGCTGCGTATGTCATGCCGATGAGAAATGTCGATGATAAAATTGAATTACAAAATTACTTTCACTCGATTACTTGTGTCGAGAGATTAACTGAATGAATTACGTGATTCGTTCAGTATTATGCTGTTGTCAACCAAGGAAAGATAATCTTAAATCCTTAAACTAATATTGAGTAACTCGGCGGCGTAGTGGATAAGCTCAGTGGTCTGCCAACGTTGTTGTTAAGCAACTTTTGCAAGGGTCCAATCAGGGAATGGGTGATAAAAAAATAAAATTACCTCGAGTTCGTCGTGCCTCGGAAGGCAAGTGAAGCCGTTGGTCGCGGCTGCATATGCAGTCGTTAATACTCCCCATTGGGTCAGCGTAGAGGGTCATGACCCAAACTCCTTAATTATCCACAAGAAAGGACTGAGCACCTGTAGTGGGGATATACAATGGCTGATGATGATAGTGATCAGGTAATGAATATTAATTGGCAGATTTGAAATTTCATATCGTTGACTTCAGTTAGTGATTGTGTAATTTCCTATTTATTTTTACAACTTTAGTCATTGTCCTTCTTATATTTATTTACACGTATAGGTTACATTGGACTCGAGAACGTACGATCACGTCTGTTCCGCTACGAACGGGCTTCGACGGTATGTTTAAAAAGGACGGTGTGCTCTAGCTTTTCAGAAATGAGAGTAGTACAATATGAAATTGATTTAAAATTAATAAACTATTTTTCCTTTATTCCAAGTAACATACGCTCAATTTCTTCGACGCTTCTGCCTTTTGTTTCGGGAAGGAATAACATAGAAGTTAGTGCTCCGAAGAGGTTTGTAGTAGCGAAGAAATAAAAGATTGTGTGCAAGCCTAATGTAGACACTGTACCATAAAGTGATAATTGGACAAAGGAAATAAACCAACCGAGCGTCACAATGCAACCAAGCAATTTAGCTCGAACCTGCAAAGAAATATGTTAATTCACTCCCAACTTCTGCGTATGATGCTCTAAAAATTTTGCTGGCTTTTAACTAAAAATAATTGTATTATAATATTTTTGAGACAATGGTTTTGTTAACTTAGATAAAATAGTCGTCAACTCCTTGTTATTTGTTATTTCTTTATGAAAACAAAACTGCTGAATCTATTTTGATATAATTTTTATGCAATATTTGGTTAGTAGTAACAATCAAATAAAAAAGAATCATCGAAGTCGGATTACCCAGATGTCAATTAAATACTACTGGACCATTTTTTAAAATACTTTCACTATTTATTGGAAAGTAATATTTTTTTCTTTTCGCATAAAAAATTGGAAGTTACAAATTGCTACGTCAGCTGCTTATAAAATAAGCCGATAAAACTTACTTGGAAATTAAAAACTTCAGCCATGACTACGTAAGTCATTGGTAAAATTCCAGCGGCGTACGCCCACACAGTGGTGACTATTGCCACCACTGGCATCCAGCTTGGCACCACTATCTCGTTCTTTTGCAGGAGCAGAATTGTAGCTAGGCAACATATCGATAACGACGATATAATATAAGCTCCAGCAAGTAAAAACTGAAAAAAAAGAAAGTTTAACCTTCTGCTAATTTTAGCAAGTTACATTAGTAACACTAGTACACTTACTGTTACTTTTTATAGATGTGTGGCTCTTTCAGTTTTATACGCTTTTTAGTATACCGTACAAAATAAAGAAAAACGTAAGCTGTATTAAATACAATAAATCAATTTGAAACGTGACCTCTTTTTAGTGGCAAAAATTAAACTTTATGAAAAATAGATACATCCTTTTTTTAACTAAAGTATTAAAGTTATTTAAGAAAATTGTAAAAATTTACCTTTCCGTGATCTCTAATACTGCAGGGCCCAACATTTAAGAAAAAAAAATTAACTCTACCAACGTATGGTAAATCATTTATTACCAGATAGTAAGACTATACCTTACCTTCCTTCCCAATTTCTCCACACAAATCATAGACAGAAGCGACCCAATAATCATGAGCACCGGAATACTAAGTGTTTGCAGTTCGGGATTGACTGTGACTCCTGCTTCGGTCATGATGCTCCACGCGTACGTGAATATGGTAAAGTAACCATTCAGATCTAATGTTGCTAATAGTGTTGTACACAATATGAAGCCACGGCGCCATGCTTTGTTTTTGACTGGAAAAAATATAAAAAACGGTTTATCTATTTAATCCTTAATACTGGAAAAACGAGACACTGGGAAAGCATTTTAAGCAGACCACATTGTTTATATCAATTTTATAATATAATACTACAAAGCTTCTAACAAGCATGAAAATTATAAATCCATCGCATTATAAAAAGCAATATACTTTCCTTTATCGTAAACCAACACATATAACAGGGAATTTTTAGATTTACCTTTTTTTAAATTCCTTAAAAACAATTTTAAAATTATTTTAGCATAAGTATTTTTTTTTTTTTAATATCTGATTCGATACGTAAGAGCTGTACTGTTGTTTATAATGTAATGCAATATTCGGCACTGTAGGTCTTCTTCCATATTATTAATTATTATTTTCTAATTGTAGAAATATATAATTGTTTGATGCAACAATAAATTTAAAAAAAAAAACCGCCTATGAACGTGTGTCAGTGTAAATAATTTTTCACGTATTTCCAGAAATCAGTAATGCAGATTGCAATGTCCGTTTGTTAGAAGAATCTTTCAAACTAAGAACCAGTGCTAATTTAATAACTAATTTAATTAACCTGTTCAGTGTTATGAAACACTTAACTTTACCAGGCTTTTTATAAGTAAAAACTATCCTTAAAATTATCTATTTTAGATTTATATCACTGTTGAAAACGGATATTATATTTAAGATTTCTTTGATGTTGGGCTGTTAATTAAGAAAACTCGAGTAACTTAAATTAGAGTAATCTGCCCTCTTGTGCTAAGGCAGTCCTAATTGATCACCGCTTGTAAATAAATGTACTTATATTGTAATTATCAGGTATATGCTCGTATTACCATTGTTAATGGCCAATGTGTGACCTCCGTAGCTTTCGCACGCCGATTCAAGGAGTCACCATCTCTGAGGTTCCGGCTTTGATTCCCAGTCGGGACTTTTCTATATTGTCTCGGGTCTGTGTGTTATGGTACCTTCGTTAGCTCAGATATTATACGGGGCTTTAGCTACTCCTCTCGGAATCTGAACAATGTATGTGATGTTTGTTTATTATATTTATTTAAAAAAGCAAAATCTTTTTAAATATCCACCCGGTTTCAAAAGAATGATTTTCATTTAAAAAAAATGTACATACAGATTCCCATAAACGTTATACGTTCCATCGTAACGAAATGAGCCTCTTCATTCTTCATTTCTTCAAGTTCAGTTTGAACTATTTTATCGTCAATATGTAATCCCCTTAATAAAGCAATAGTTTCAGCAGCTTCCTAAAATCGATAATCAAAATAATTAGTAATTAAAAAATCTAAATATTTAGTTCTTTTAAGGAAATTAACTAACCTCTATTCTACCTTTTTTCACGAGAAAAGCCGGCGATTCTGGAGCCATCCACATTAATGCTAAGCTGATTGCAGAAATACTTAAAGCAATCCATAATATAATATGATATTCCAAATATGCTCCCATGGAATACATCGCCAATAAACCAATGTTTGAAAACATCATTGTAAGAGATACCAAAGTGCCTCTTGTATTATTCTGGCTTATCTCCTTGACATACATAGGGGTTAAATTAAAGCATCCTCCGGCTGGAATTCCGGCAAATATTCTTGCTATTATAAGAGCCATTGTATTGCTTGATGCTAGTTTTATGACCCAACACAACTATAATGGAGAATGTATCTTTTAACTTTTAGCAATATTTGAACCTATGAGGTATATTTGATCAATGTCTCATTCTCAATGCTATACTGGAAAATATTTTAATTGAAAAATACTTAAAATATCACTTTGTCCCTGATACTCTGTTATGGGCTTCGAACCCATGACCTTTAGCACTCCGGGCGACTGCTCTAATCACTGAACTACCCAGGACCTAACAGAACTGTCGAATTTTTCAAGCACTTGTTATTTTTTCGTTACTACATAGCGTATTTTCATCAATGTGCAGGCAATCCACCAGAACAGCCGAGAGAAATATTTTTCCACGTTCCTGTTTGCAATATTTGGAATTTTTAATGTTCATGTGAAATTAGAATCTGTTTAATTACGAAACATACATTATTTCATAGGTCGAAAATAGACTATAAGGATATCAGCAGAAAAGGAATAATCTACAATGTCGTGATACCCAAAAACTTACTGCCTGCGGAACAGCCATAGCTATAACTCCAACTTTCCTACCATATGCATCTGCTATATATGAGTATATCGATACACCGAACACTGCTGCTATTGGCATCGAACTGGCGACCCACGACATTTCAGTAACTGTCAAAGGTTTACCGGTTGGTGACAATTCAGACTGTAACACCTTCGCCATAGGTGAAATCCATCCACCCTGAAGGCCGTAGCTTAATAATGTAGTTGCAGCTGCAAAATTTAATGTTTATTTTTTATTTAAAGTCACTGGCTCAATTACAAAAACTTCGATATATAAACATGCCTCAAGACGTCTAAAAGGAATATTGCGTGAAATGTCATTTAATTACTCGAGGTTAATAGTGGTTATTATTTTGAACCCGCCATAATTGGTAGTTACAATATAATGTATATAAATAAAACTTAATATTCTTAAGAAATCTAACTATTACTATATTTTTAATTTGATTTTGTATTCTTCTTTATATACACAAATATATTATATTACTTGAAAATGCTTGCATGAACATTTTTCAACAACAATATTGGGCATTTGTGTTTTTATTGATACGTAAATCAGGTAATCAAAAAATTCTCCATTGAAATAAACATTTAATAAAACACTTTTTATTGATTCAACATCTTCTAATAAACAATAATTGTAAGAGACTTAGGTATTGATTCCAAACAGTAGTAATAACATTTACTCAAACTAATGTCCTTATGAAATAATAATATCATTGGTAATAAAATAATATAAGTATGTGTAACAACCCACAAAGGTTAAGATATCAATAAGCAAATTAATAAGCGTAGGTTGTTACAGTCATTAGTCCCATGCCCTTTGGACTTTCAAATAAGCCTTTGCAATAAATTTTGAACGCTGAAAATGAAAGTAATATAGAATAGACTTTACAATACACTTAAACCTTAAAAAATGAAGAGTAGTACAAGAGGCAGCCTTGTTGCTTGGCAGCGATCTCTAGCAAGCAACCGTGGATAGAAATAGAAATTCAAATAAGCTAGAATAGATGTCGGTGCAAAAAAAAACAATTATCCAAAATTGAAAAAAAAGTGCCGTCAAGTACCGCGAAGTCATCATATGCCAGCTTCGCACATGACGGTACTATTCTCCCAAGGGAATCAATTAGTGTGATAAAAAGTAGCATATATATCAAACCAGGCTGAGGATTATCTGTATACCAAATTTCATCAAAATCCGCTGAGTTCCCTAGATTAGTTTTTGCTTGAAGAAGTGATAAACATTCAAACTTAAAAACTTTTGCTTTTACAAATACTTTTCACCAATAATGAATCTCTTTTTTAACTAAATAATGCTGGCGATAATAAAATACCACCAGAGTAAATTATACGTTAATGTAACAACGCAAAAATAGAGTTAATTTACCCAGAATCGTAACCATCCACTGAACATAAGTGTGTCCTGATTTCTTCTCACTTTTTATACTCAGCATTTTATATAAAAAAATATATGAATGTTCAATATAATTAACTGTAACATGTGAAATCTATAAAAAAAATGTAAAGAATGAAGCCGCAGAACTCACGTCACAGCACTCTCAGACTTTTGTTATTATTTTACTACTTGTATTCAATTATCATAAGCAAGGTAATGTCATGAAAATCTCGGCACACTTAGTTATCAACTAGAAATGGCAACCTGATCACACAGGGCTGTCTAGCAAACATAATTTTCAAAACAACTCAGCTTTGCTTCAAAGCTTTGAAATCGGTAATGACGGCAGCACCATACTCTTTTATAAAAAGTATTTTTATAATCACTTAAAAGTTAACTAAGGACTTTAAAGAGTGACATACATATAACTGCAAGTTTAAACTGAATTAATAAATAACTCAAATAAATAAATGTACAGTACATTAAAATGAAAACTTTCAGATTTATCGCATACACAGAGTGCTATGTCCCATAAGGATCAATATTAGGTCCATTACTCTTCATAATTTGAGTTACCAATGTAGATGAGCTTAGCTTAAATTATAATTTATGCAAACGTTGTCTCTTTTTATTTTTAATCAAGATTCAAGGTAAGCTAATACCTATAAATTTTATCAAAATATTAGTACTGCTAGTTTCATTTATTGCAAAACATTGTCGTGACTATTTTTAATGAAAAAGGACAAAGTGAATTTTTGAAGCATTTTTCACTAAGAATATTTTTCAGTATAGCATTGTGAATTAAAAATTGATCAAATATAATAATTATCGTAACTATTAACCCCTATTCGTCCCTCGTGTTACACTGACAAAGTACACTACAAACTAGTGTCATGAGAGACATTTTGTATATGTATTTAATTGTACTAATGTTCCAACTTTGTTGTTCTGTAATAAAATCAGCGTCAAACTCGACATTGAGTAGCTAATGAAAAGACAATGAAAAATAAAAACCCTTATTACCTTTTGAAGTATGTTTATTTGATATAACCTCTATGCTATGACAATGCTGTGCAGCCTTGCGATTCTGTAAAAATCAAAACCTGAATTCGAATTCACTTCAAAGAGCGGCATCCGATTAATCTTGAATTGGTAATAACATTTAGTGGCATAAGTGAAGTGAGTTTCGAAATGTCAAATGAATATAATATCTGAGACACAAATATTCAATCAATTTTGTTTTGTATTTTTATACAAAAAATGGAATCAATAGAATTTCTATACTAAATGACGTGAATTCAGACACATGAGGGAATTCGTGTTCAGGTCTGGATTTTTAAAGAATCTCTACGAGGAATTCGACACTAAGTTTTTTACATAACAACACTGCAATACTATCATAAATACTTGTTAGGGGCTAGCAGTTAATTTAAAATTTAATATGATATTATAAATGATCATCCTTATAAGTTAAAGTCACGTTTATTACGTCTAAATATAGAAAATTATAAATTGAAAACTCTTAACAATGTTCTGATAAAGTGTACAAATATTGTGTAACAGCAAATAAAACTGTTTATTTACATGATAACTTTAATATAGGCTGTTGATATGCAGATAGAAATATAATATCATTAGACAATGAGATGACATTGTAATAGTTAGATCATTAAAAAAATATAATGTTTATTACAAATTAGAATGTGGAAACTTTGACGAGAATGTCAATTTTAAATAACTAACCATACTTCAAATGTAATGAAAGAAAAACTATTTATAGTCTATGAGTGAGTGTATATTATATTTTATGAGTGGATCAGTTTTATTCTTTGGAGCTGTTTCGAATCTAAAACAATAAAAAATAAAATTTGTTTTAAACATCGAGTCAAGGACCACTATAATTATGAATTTTAATTTATTGTCATTATATTTAGCTGTACTTAACAAATGTTATATATTAATGTTATATACCATAATCTACCTACATAATAGTTACATGAGTTATCCTATTTGTAATGGTTGCCTGGAAAAAATCGCTTATTAGCGATGAGGCCGCCAATTGTACTTTTTATTGTATTTGTTTTTACTATTTATGTACTCTGTCTAATGGTTTATACAATAATTCATTAATTCATTATAGGTTTGCGACCAACCTATATGTCATACTATGATGTATAGGTTGCTCACATTCTTTAAGGGGGCGTCCATAAATTACGTGAGACGTTTAAGGGGGGGAGGGAGTCGAGTCAAATCTCATCTAATCTCACGTTGGAGAGAGGGGGGGTCTCGGCAAATATCACGCAATTTTTAAAATAAGGCTCGGTGCGGGGAATCCCTCATAGGGTGACAAGTCTAAGGTTGAGATCATTCACTAATTCGTTGGAAAGAAAATAATTTCATTCGTACTTTGACATTATACATCACTCCTGATTGTCAAACCACTATACTCGTTTTATACCAAATAGATCAATTTAATTTGAATTTACGGTACAATGTAGCTCGTCCTTTGTTTTCACGCCACTATCAGCTGAACGTGTGACTCGATGAATGAGAGCAATATTGATTACTAGTCTCTAACTAGTCGTAAATAAAAGTACTAAGCGAATTATTTTTTTTTCTTTTTATTAAAAAAATCCAACGTGTTTAAATAAGAAACCCACATTTTGAAAAATCTCACGTGAGATTTGGGGATGGGGGAGGGGATTGAATAAAATCTCACGACATCTCACCAGGGAGGGAGGGAGGGTCAGACAATTTGAAAAAACACCTCACGTAATTTATGGACGCCCCCTAACTATCATCGAAGAAAACAAAAGATCTTGAATTGATTTTCATATGTTTTTTGTAATTTAACATTCTGTAAATCTCTTTAAATAAAACTGGTTACAAACACGTGAAATACTTAATTTTAGAGGCGATTTTATTTTAAAAGTAATTTATACCTTTTTAAACAAAAAAGGAATATTGGAAGATCCCGGAAATTCTGCGTACAATACAACGAATGTTTGGTTAAGAATACATTTACCTCTCATAACGAAGTTTAACCTCTAATCTATTAGTTCGGTAATGGACTTCCAAAGCTTAACCTGCAAACATACTTGAGACCTAGGAGATAGAGATGCCAATATTTATATAGTAACAAAGCCACTTGTAATCTGTGGATATTTACTTTGGTAAGTCTATAAATCTGAGCAGCATTTTACCTAATGTGATACAACGGATAGATTATTCAAACATACACCGATCAAGGTTCATACGTATATTTTTAACAATGAATAACATATTCAGACAGCTTCCAAAAGCACTCGTGTGTATTAAGCGTTAAGTCATGTCTACCCTTCTCTCATCTAAAGTTGATGTCACACTTAAAATAAAAACGACCTTCTAATAGAATATTTTATACGGGTGTTTTCGTATCTTTGCATAATTTCGTGAACAATTAATGCACTTTAATACTTGTATCTATAGTCGAGAAAAGTTGATTGAGAATATGTCAAATTTAAGTAGATATTTATACCAAATAAACAAGAATTTGAATGAAGTAAAAAAATTTAATAGATGGGATCACAGAACACAGAAAGACGTTTCCTGTGGTTGGAATACTATTATTATTATCTATAAACAGTTTTTAAAATATTTGAATGAATGAATGAATGAAATGAATGAATGAATGAATGAATGAAATACTCTTTATTGTACACACCATAAGTTAATGGACAAATATACAGTAATCAAACAAAGTAGTACAATTGGCGGCCTTATTGCTAAAAAGCAATTTCTTCCAGGCAACCTTAACATAGCATACAGGATACAGTTGGAAAAATTGGGTAGTCTATGGTGCATTAAGAAGTCTACAGGTAACAAAACATTAAGCAGGAAAATTGTTTATAATA